ATATTTTTATATTTTTGAGGTCTCTGAGGTTTCCCCTGTGAAAGAAATGCTGTTTGCACAACAAATGTATGACTTTTTCATTTACATTTCCAATGAAAGTGCGCTATACTCTACTTTTAAATTCATTAAATGGTTTTGTGTATAACATGTGATTAATCGCGATTAATCACACTCGAACTCATGCGATTCTTTTTTTTTTTTTTTTTGCCCAGCCCCAGTTTCATATGAACTTTGCACAGGAAATGGTTTAACAAAGGCTTTTAGTATCACACCCATGATTTTGCCTTTATATTTTATTAAACCTCATCGAATCATATTGAAATATATATCGTATCGAATTGGAAGTGCACTGTATAGGGATATGTATCGTGGCCTATGTATCGAGGTTTGTACTGTATTGATTACTTCTTAATGATACCCAGCCCCAATGACTAGACTGAAAAATCTCACTGTGAAAGAACGGAGTTACAATCAAGCAAATTTAATATGGGGAGGCAAACTATATTCAAAAATGCCTGATATTTTGCACACAATTCAGTTTAGGCCTCTCTATTAAAGGGTTAGTGAGACCCGCTGGCAATGGCAGGGGGGTCATTGCTGCTTGCGGCTATATTTTCACTTCTGACCTTGTAAATTCCTAGGAGAAATGCAGTGTGTCTTTGTAGATTTGATTGCAGCAGGAGTCTTGGTTTCTTGAGACAGACTCTCACAGTACAAAGGGCTTGGTCATGGATTCCTCTGTATAATGTTGCTTCTTCTTGTGTTTTGCAGGTGGTCCCTGGTTCTCAGAACAGTGTGGACTTGGACTATCTGAACTCTCTCACTGAGTACCAGGTGGCTGTGTTTGCTGTGTACCGGAGCTCAGCCAGTGTGGCTCTGAGAGGCAGCGCCACCACATGTACGTTTAAAATATACACACTGCTAACTTTACTTTTATTATACCACAAGGACCATGCCACTTGAAGTACAGGCTTTCACTCCTTTTGTACGCACTGGTGTATAGTATAGAATAAAATCTATAATGTCACCCATATCCGATCTCTGTGCAGTCTGCACCTGGAATGAAGCTTGATTAGTCTGTAACATTTCAGGATGAGAGATGATTGTCTGTGTGAGGACGCTCTTCTTCACCTCCACATGTACCTGCTGTGTGAACACATGTTAAATCATGTCACGTGTTAAAGAGCCAGGATTATACTATTTTCTGACCTATGTTATAATTTTGCTTCCTCATCAAAAACATGGAGTTGTGTTTTGTTTCATTCACACATATTTAACAAAGAAACTCTACATATACATAGAGTTATTCTCTCTATAGATTCTCTGTTCCACCTTGTGATGTCCTCAGACCTTCACTGGAATATTTGAATGATTTCAGTCCTGGAATTGCCAATTTCTACTGAACTGAAGGTAAAAGGAGCTGTTCACTTGAAAACTACCCCACTAGGTGGATCACAGAGTTTTGTGTGTTGGAGATGTTGCCAGATTTAATAATAAAGGATTACTCAAACATGTGTGAAAGAAACAAAACAACTCCAGGTCTGTTTTTGATGAACATTATTATATAACTTAAAGCTCAGAAGAGTTCATTTTGTTGTAAATTTAAGTTAAATCTCTTTCCTTCTGGTGGGTCTGTGCAGTGGCTCTCCCAATGGTAAACGAGCTGGAGCTGTTTGACATCACCCACAGCACCATGATGGTCAAATGGAGGACGGCAGCCGGGGCATCTGGGTATATGATCCTGTACGCCCCGCTGACAGAGGAAGACGCAGCTGACGAGAAAGAGGTAAAATAATACAAGGAAATATGTGAAAACAACAAAGGAGAAGGTCAGAGGAGAAGAGGAGAGGGTCAGAGGAGAAGAGGAGAGGGTCAGAGGAGAAGAGGAGAGGGTCAGATGGAGCAGAGGAGAGGGTCAGATGGAGCAGAGGAGAGGGTCAGATGGAGCAGAGGAGAGGGTCAGATGGAGCAGAGGAGAGGGTCAGATGGAGCAGAGGAGAGGGTCAGATGGAGCAGAGGAGAGGGTCAGATGGAGCAGAGGATTCACGGTCACATTCCTCAGGTCTGTAGCTTGTAGCAGGTGAAGCTCATCTGTCTCTGTTATCAGCACATCTCGCTCCGCCGCAGTTCGTCTTTTCACTAAACTCACATTTCAAACTTCACCTGTCCGTCGTGAGTCGAGTCTGAACCTGAGCCTTACATAAGTCTGGGCTCCTCCCTCGCCTCGGCTGTGTGACCCCATATTTCACATTCCTCTGTCATTCTGACACTAAAAACATGAAAAACACGAAAATACTGCAAACTCTGAATGAATCTGATACAAGCGTCTATGACGTGTGTACGAGCTGCTACACATCGTCTAGTCAGATAGAATATCCAAATGAATATGAACTTAACTAAGGACTAAACTAGGAGGAAAACAGGACTAAACTAGGAGGAAAACAGGACTGAATCAAAACTAAATCAGGACTAAATTATCACTAAACCAGAACTAAACACGGGTTAAACCAGGTCAAAACTAGGGCTAAACCAAGACTAAACCAAGACTAAATCAGGACTAAACCAGGGCTAAACCAAAACTAAACTAGGGCTAAACCTTGACTCAACCAGGACAAAGGCAGGACTAAACCAGGAGCCAACCAGGACTGAACCGAATCAGGACTAAACCAGAACTAAACCAGGACTAAATCAGGAGTCAACCAGGACTAAACAAGGGGTAAACCAGGTCTGAACCAAGACTAAATCAGGATTTAACCAGGAATAAACTGGGATTAAACCATGTTTAAACCATGCGTGAACCAAGGTTTAAACGTGTTAATGCAGGACTAAATCAGGCCTAATTCAGCATGTAACAAGAATTTATTATTACCATTTATATTGTTTATCTTTGTTATTCCAATATATTTTAATGAGTGAGATGCTGTGTCCAAATAATTTTCCTTGTTGATCAATAAAGTTTGTCTGAGACTAAGTCTAACTCAGGACTAAACTAAGACTAAGTGTGGATTTAACCAGGACTATTGACTAAACCCAAGACCATGCTGTAAAAATCTGCAGTTGAACCACATTTATTTTAGCTGCCCCCATTTGTATTCAATGATATTGGCCTGTAGTTGATAGTCAAGGTCAGTTAAATACAATCAATTCAATCACTGTGTGTCTTTAGGCAAGACACTTCACCCACATTGCCTAGTATGAAAGTGGTGTGTGTGTGAGAGATGATGGTGGTCGGAGGGACCGATGGCGGCTGCACTTCTGTCTGCCCCAGGGCAGCTGTGGCTACAATAGTAGCTTACCATCACCAGGTATAGAGTGAATGAATAATGCTGAATAATGCTCTGTAAAGTGTCTTTGGGGACAGAAAATGTCTGTGAAAGTGCTATATAAATAAAGACTTGTAGAATGTAGTGATGTCATCTGAAACACAGCAGTGGGAGGATGGGAGGGCATCTGACACACAGGAGGATGGGAGGGCATCTGACACGTCTGGTCTATTCCAGGTGAAGGTGGATGCGTCGGTGAACGAGGTGGAGCTGGAGGGTCTGACTCCATCCACAGAGTACACAGTGACCGTGTACGCCCTGTACGGAGAAGAGGCCAGTGACCCTATGACCAGCCAGCAGACCACATGTGAGTACTGCTACTGCTACTGCTACTACTAATACTACGATTACTAATGCTATTACTACTACTGGGCTACTACTTAACCCTATTGTCACCCCTAGTGTCTGTGTACACTGGTGTGTGTGTGTGTGTGTGTGCGTGTGTGTGTGTGAATGGGTGAGTGGTTTCTTGTGGTAAAGCGCTTTGAGCCTCGAAGGTGGAAGGTGCAGTAGCAGTACTACTACTAGTACTGCTACTGCAACTACTACTACTACTACTACTACATTTAGCTTTTACTCTGCCTCCTCTCTCTCCCCCCTGACCTTCCATACTCTCTCTATTTGACACACACACACACAAGTTACTGCTACTGTTACTACTACAGTGTCAGTGCCCTACTACTACTACTACTACTACTACTACTACTACTACTACTACTACTACTTCTGCTATCACTATAAATATTACTATTACTACTAGTCATTATGTGAGTAGAAGTGTCAGAGTCAAAGTTAAAGTGTACTTTATCATCAGTCACACCGTGAAACAGACATTACACAGTGCAAAGTGCTGAGACAGTAGCATGGATATAGGAATGTATTAAGTTGTTTTGGATGTAGTGGTTAACATATTCATGGAATTGTCTTGAGTTTGTTGATTAGCCGGTGGGAAGAAGTGCTGCTGAGTCTGGTTGTTGTAGTAGTAGCACTAGTATTAGAGTAGTAAAAGTGTTAGAATTAGCCGTAGCATTAGCAGTATTATTTTTCTTAGTATTTCCATCCATCCATCCATCCATGTTCTTCTCTTTATTCGGGGCAGTAGTCTAAGCAGGGACTCCCAGACTTCCCTCACCCTGGACACTTCCTCAGGCTCCTCCGAGGGGACCTCAAGGTGTTTCCAGACAAGCCCAGAGACATAGTCCTTCCAGCATGTCCTGGGTCTTTCCCGGGGCCTCCTTCCGATGGGACATGCCCAGAACACCTCCCCAGGGAGGCACCAAGAGGTGTCAGAACTGATGCCCTCCCCTCAGCTGCTCCTCTCCAACTGAAGGAGCAGCGGTTCTACTCTGAGCTCCTCCCGTGTGAATGAGCTCCTCACCCTGTCTCTAAGAGAGTGCCCAGCCACCCTGCGGAGGAAACTCCTTTCAACTACTTGTATCCGCGATCTCGTCCTTTCTTTAGTATTTTTATTAGTATAATTATTGGTAGTAATAGGACTAGTAGTAGTAGCATGATGTGTAGGTAAATGTCTCATTAGATAAGTGCGTTCCTCAGTGACAGAGTCTTTGAGCTGCAGTCACTCTGGTTCATTTCACTGTGTTTGGTGAAACCTCTAAATGTTGGACTTGTAGCTGTTCGGTGCAGTTTTCAGTCTCTGAGCTCGGCTGTAATTATGGCCAACTTTACGATGCGTGTTTGCCTCAGGTCGCCTCGGGACAAACCCAAATAACTCCTTTCACACAAACAACACGAGCAAGAGATGGAGAGAGAGCCAGCACCAATTAGATGCCTGCTTTCTCACTTTACAATGACATAATTGAAGTTATAGAGCTTTATTTCACATGTTTAAAGGGATTCATGTAAGAACGTTGCCTCCTCAAAAACAGACCTGGAGTTTTCTGCACTCACAAGAATCTTGAGTAATCCTTTATTATTAGTCTGCATCCTAAAATGTTCTCTTCCGATGACATGACCTGATAGTTTTCAAGTTAACATCCACCATTTCCCTTTTGTTCATTAGAGATTGGCAATTCCAGGGCAGAAATGTGATTGTTTTCAGTTTTAGGGCCTGGCTCTACTGCACGTGTATTTCACCCTACGCGAGTGTAAAAACTGCAGTTTTTGGATGCATAACTTTTAGAATGGATGGAAAGAGAATGAGGGCGGCTCCACTGTACGTGCTAGACGTGCGTATGGAGCAACACGTCCTGTGTGTAGATTTCAGAAAATAGAATCCATCCTATTTTTTAACGCTCTTAGGCATGTATCCCCATCAAAATACACAGAGCATGAATCTTTGGTTGCATTGTGTGTTTACCATCAGCACAACATGCTCCTGGGGCAGTTCTGCATCATGTGAAAGAGCTCAGGTCCAGAAATACTGTTAATAAGTGCTTTAAAAAGTACTTTTGAAATCCTGGCATTTGCCGTGGTGAGTCTGTACAGAAGGTAAATACAAGGCTGTTCAGCTGTAGACCTGATACAAGCGGCTAAACTCCTCAGTCAAGTTTGATCGTCTTTCCCATTGACTAACACCAAGGCAGAGCTGCGCGTGTACGTCCTGCTGCGGCTACCGGTGGAGCCGCCTTTGCGTTGACACGTGGCTGTGGTTTCTTGAGGTTTCGTGCGTAAACGCTGACGCGTGCAGTGGAGCCAGGCCCTAAGAGAAGAACTCAGCCTAAATGTGCAGGATTTGTGTGAATGAAACAAATCACAGCTCCAGGTGTGTTTGTCATGAGGAAACTACATTAGAACAGAGATCAGAAAATAGCCCCCAATAAAAATACAATTACAAGTTAAAATTTAAACTTATTCTTGACTTCTGAGCATCATGTTATTCACCACAATGAATTTATTAGCACTTTTCACAACTTTTGGTTGGAGTTTTAATTGGATGGAGTTTTGTCGTAAGCAAAGCTAACAACAAATAGATGACAACAAATGATTATTGGACTTGATACTGGGTACAGGAGCTTTAATGCTTCCAGGCCCATGGTCCTGTGATCCTCCACACTTCGACTGGGATGTACTGATTGGATCGGGATGTACTTGTATTATTTCACGTGTAATGTTTTTTATCTACACTATGTTCTGCTTCATTCTTCTGTGCCACTGTTACTTTGATCCGTGATTCTCCACTGTGAAGATTACATTTGAGTGACAGAATCATCTTTGTTTGGAGTTTTGTAATAGCAGAACAAACAGAAGGTGGTACAGAGGCTAATACTACGGAGTAAGAAAACTTTCAGAAATATTCACGTGCATAGGATAGATATCTGTGCATTGGCTGTAGGTGAGCTCTAAAATAAATATTTGTAAACTCTCGAATTAGTCCAGTTGTACATAATATGTATTTATAAAAGTATATTTTTACAGTAAAATGTAACGAACCCACCTGTTCACTGGCTCTTGTAGCTCTTGTTGTGCCATTATCATAAATTCCAGACTATAAGCTGCAACTTTTTTCTCACACTTTGAACCCTGCTGCTAATAAAACAATGTGGCTAATATATGGATGGATTCTTTGTTTGGCACATTGTCCATTCATATTTACGGTCTATGGTTTGGCAACACAGTGGATATGTGCAGCCTGAGTGCAGAAAATGCCGGTGTTTGTGCAGTTACACATGGATCTAGGGTTCACATGAAGCTGCAACACTCGCTAGTGATATTGTCAGTGCACTCAAATTGTTTATCGCTGTGTGATAAAATAAGTTCTGATGCTAAATGAACATTAGTGAGGGGGATACATCTTACCCGTATGTGTAAAAGACAAGAAGAAACATCTCAAACTTCAGCAGCCAGACATCCACTCACACCTGATTGACAGAACTAGCCCCCGCCCCCGAGAAAGTCTGAAATCTGCTGAAATCCTCCAAGACACTGACATGATCCAGACAGGACAGAGACTCTTTCTACAGGAGACATGCACAGTAGAGCACGAGGAGACATGGGGTGATGCGCTGAGGAAGATGCTCGTTTAATTGTGTTTTGAACAGTTATTTTGCACTTCATACACACCCTCCTCACGGAAAAGACACGAAGAAATGCAGATAATGCAGCTTTTATGTTAATGGTGATTGATGTGGCTGTGGAAGAAGGAAACAGAGCTGCTGCACGTGAACTCGACATCAATGAGTCAATGGTGAGATTTTGGCAACGGCAGCATGATGAACTGACTCAGAGCAAAAAGACGACAAAAACTTTCAGAGGCGATAAAAGCAGACGGCCAAACTTAATAACTTGAATATGTGGACACCTGTCACTTATATTCCAGTGCGGCCTATATATGTACAGTTTTAAAATTGTGTTAAAATTTAGTTAATGCGGCTTATATTCAGGTGCGCTCAATAGTCTGGATTTTATTGTACTTTGTTTTTACCCTCTGCTACAGTTTAAGTTTCCGCAGAGCAGTGACACTTGCACAGTCTTGATCTTGATCAATGTTTCTTCTGCTCAGTAAAATATCCCTGTGAAGTGATGACATAGTTTTGACAATCAAGTCGTGTCTTTCAATTCATATTCTGATGGATAAAAAAAAAAACAGAATAAATTGTATGTATGACTGGACTCATTTCAAAGTTTAAGAATATTTATTTTATGCTCAACTAAAGACAAATATGCACAGATTTCCCAAATATGCACAAATTTCTATCCTATACACAGGGATATTTCTGAAAGCTTTCTTATTCCATATAATCCACGTGATGTTTCTCATTTCTAAATGTATTCGCTGTAGAAGTGTGATGTTACATACATATTGTGTGTTGCTTGTGTCAGTGCCTCTGTTACCCGCCATGGACCTGCGCTTCTCCGACATCGACCACAGCTCGGCCAAACTCACCTGGGACTCACCCTCCAAGAAGGTCAAAAGTTACCGCATCATGTACGTGAAGACCAGCGGCACACAGATCAACGAGGTGAGGAGCCTTTTGTCTCCATGGAGATATTTAATCATTTTTTTATGGTTTTGCCTTTATTTGCTTTTACAGGTTTTATTGTTTTAGGACTGGTATGACCACATTTTAGCAATTTACCTTTTTGTTGTCATTTTCTGATGCAGCACTTTCGAAACTGCTTTGTTTGTAAAATGTGCTAGAAATAAAGTGGATTTGGATTTAGATATCTGTGAAAAATGGGTGTCTAGATTCAATACTAGTTTGAGTATCAGTTAGTATCTGATTTTTGATACTTTTTGACAACTCTAGTGATATGTGATGCTTCTGTTCAGGTGGACGCTGGGCGTGTGACCACTTACCTGCTGAAGAACCTGACCTCTCTGACGGAGTACACTGTGGGAGTGTCAGCCATTTACGATGAAGGACAGGCAGAGGCCACAACAGACAGCTTCACCACAAGTAAGAACTTTAAGGAACTGTGATCTGCTCTAGATCAGAGTACTCTATTGCTAGCCTGAGCAGACAGTCCCTGTTCTGGTCTTGGAGTGGAACCGGACCAAAGAGCGTGATAAACCTCAGACGGTCCAACCACAGACACTCGGAAATTCTTGTAACATTCGGAACTAAATATGTCAATTATTTTACTTGAGATAACTAACAGTCTGGTGCTTTGATTGTTGATTCTTAGTCTCAGTTTATTTTTTTATTTTTTTTTTACCGCTTTTTCTGATTGGTTGATCTGCCTGTCAATCACTCCCTCTGAAATCAGGCAGGAGACAGGATACAACTCCAGATCCACTCGTCTTTGTAAAGTTTTTCAAAGTGTGTGGTTCTGGCCTCAGGTAACAGTATCGCAGTGCACTTGCCAGGGGATGGTTGAGATGATTTCAGGTTTAAAAAATGAAATATAAGTGCAGAGGATTGAGTATCAGTATCATAAAACAAGAACCCCACGGAGTGGGAGAAAAAGCTTAGGGAACCACACCACAGACAAGTAGAGATCCATTCACTATTTAACCTGTGACCGGAGCAGAGGGGGGAGTGTCTGGCCCTAAGGCACAACAGTAGTGTGTAATGGGAGAGACAGTGGATGGACTGTGGTGTCTCGGTTGGGAGAGTGACAGGTTCAAGCCGTGCACAAGAACTCTCCTGAACTCCCCTGACCTCCCCTGACCTGACTGGTATTTTTCACAAAGATCTATGGTGCAGGTTGGCAGCCACATTTCTGACAGATGGCCCAGGGCAGTTGAGCGTTGTGGATGTGATGTGCAGTAGTTTAATTCACGGGGTGCACGCTGATTGTGCTGTGATAGTGCTCTGAAGGGGGAGTGACTTAACAGCAAAGAGATGGGAGACTCAGATTGTCAAAAATGGAAGTGAAACTTAAAAAACATGTTAATACTTGATTTCGGTGAATATAATATTTGCATTTGCTGTTGTTTTTTCATGTGTTTGTTGTTCTCAGAGACCGTCCCTGACCCTCTGGACTTCAGCAGCTCAGATGTTTCCACAGACAGTTTCAGGGTGAACTGGAGACACCCAGCTTCAGACGTGCTTCTGTACAGAGTGACCTGGACGTCCACTGATGGAGGAGACAGCGACGATGTGAGGGACAAACTCGAAATACATGAATCCTAGTTTAGGTTTAGCACTTTTGCCTCACAACAGCTGTTTAGTTCCTTGGTGGGGCCTTTCTCTGTGGGGTTTGCATGTTCTCCCTGTGTCTGGGTGATGTTTCTACATGTAAAGGTGCAAAACAGGCAAAGTCCCCAGAGAGGTACTCCTGAATCAATTACTTAATCATGTCATTTAATAAAGTAACATTTATTTCAACAAGGGGGGTTCAACATTCTGAATATGACCCACAAGTGAAAGTGAGAGCAGCACTAGGAGCAGAAATGGATGTCAGACGTGTTAATATTGTGGCATGTTGTTCAGGTTATGGTGAATGGGAACACAAACACGTATCTGATCAAAGGCCTGACCGCAGCCACAGAGTACGAGGTGCTTCTGTCCGCCATCTACAAGAACGAGGTGGAGAGTGACGAGGTCATCCTGGTGGAGACCACAGGTGAGTCTACCTGGCCAATGAAGACAGAGCGTTTACTGTAAATATGTACTGTAGTACTTATACTGTACATATATTTGAAGTACTCTTACCTCTCATAAAATCTTATCTATTTACACCTCTTTATTTCAGCAAAAAGAACAACCACCATCGCCACGACGACCACCTCCACTACAGGTCAGGCCTCTGAATTATGACTGATTTACTTAAATGTTAATATTTTATATTTTATACAAAAAAACAAACAAACAGGAGGTACTTTTATTCTGGACTAGTGGAGTCATATGTTTAGAGTTTCTTTAATATGCTTATTACGTGTGTTCATATTGTATTCATGAGTAGTTTGTGCCTGTTGCTGGTGGGAGGGGCCTATGGCTCAGACTGGCAGCCTCACTTCTGTCAGTCTGCCCCAGGGCGGCTCTGGATACAGAAGTATCGTACAACCGCCATGTGTGGAGTCTATGGTTTGGCAACACAGTGGATACATGCAGCCTGAGTGCAGAAAACGCCGCTGTGTGTGGTTACACATGGATGTAGGGTTCACATGAAGCTGTGACACTCACTAGTGATATTATTGCACTCATAGTTTTAAAGTTTTAAAATTTAAGTTTAGTTTATCGCCATGTGATAAAATAAGTTCTGATGCTAAATGAACATTAGTGAGGGGGATACATCTTACCCGTGTGTGTAAAAGACGAGAAGAAACATCTCAGACTTCAGTAGCCGGACATCCACTCACACCTGATTAATACACCTATCCCCGCCCCCGAGAGAGTCTGAAATCTGCTGAAATCCTCCAAGACACTGACATGATCCAGACAGGACAGAGACTCTTTCTACAGGAGTCATGCACAGTAGAGCACAGGGAGAGACGGGGTGATGCGCCGAGAAAGATGCTCGTTTGATTGTGTTTTGAACAGTTATTTTGCACTTCATACACACACCCTCCTCATGAAAAACACACAAAGAAATGCAGATGCTTCAGATTTTAAGTTAACGACGACTGATGTGGCTGTGGAAGAAGGAAACAAAGCTGCTGCACGTGAACTCGACATCAGTGAGTCGATAGTGAGACTTTGGCTACGGCAATGTGATGAACTGACTCAGTGCAAAAAGACGACAAAAACTTTCAGAGGTGTTAAAAGCAGACGCCCGAGCTTAATAACTTGAAGATGTGGAGACCTGCCACTTATATGCAGGTTCATGTACAGTTTTGGTGGTGGGAGGGGCCTATGGTTCAGACTGGCAGGCTCGCTTCTGTCAGTCTGTCCCACCATGTGTGGAGTGAAAGAACAGTGCTTAAAATTTTAAAGTAAGTGAGCTAAACTAATGAATGAAGCTTCTGTGAGCTGTGTTAGAATGTACAGCTCCAAAGCTCAACGTGTTCCACCTTGTGATGTCATGTAGTGGTAGTTTTCATGTTAACAGCTACTTTTACTATTCTGCTGAAGGTGTATGGACTTTAAAAACACAGAAGAGTGCTTCTTGGATTACCACATGACATCACAAGGTGGATTGTTGTGTTTTGAGCTTTGGAGATTTGTAGACAGACAAAAAATAATGGGTTACTCAAACATGTGTGAGTGAAACAAAACACAACTCCAGCTCTGTTTTTGATGAGAAAACATGACAACACAGATCAGAAAACAGCCCAATACGGACTCTTTAAACACCGCGTGAGCTGTTTAACTTTGAACAGTTTTGTCCCTCTGATATTTTACTCATGTTTTCTTCTGGTTTGTGTTATTCTTATTATTTTCTGTAGCTCCTCGTTTGGGGATCAGAACCCTGCGCATCGACGACGAGACCACCTACAGTCTGCGGGTGTCATGGCAACCGGTGGACTCCAGAAACATACGCCACTACAGGCTCAGCTACATCAGCGCTAAAGGAGACCGCGCAGAGGAGATGGTGAGAACCAAATCTGAACATGTTTAAAGACACTCTAGCTGATTTTTACTCTCTGAAAAATGTGAAAAACAGAACTAGTTCATTATAAAGAGTTTGCAGTGGTCCAAAGTTATTCCCCACTTACCTGATGCATTTCAATTATTCACCATTATTTCACAATTCTTTGCTGTCATGGTAACACTAACAACTACGACTGTAGTTAATTAATCTTCTTCATCTATCAAAACATGTATTAGTCCATTCATCATCTTATTTTGGTGGTCAGGATTTCTGTGGGACACAGGAGAAAAGAGAACAGCGTGAGTGAGCTGAAGATTTGGTATTTTTTGGTGTACCTAGTACTTTTTTGGTGTACCTAGTACTTTTTTGGTGTACCTTGTACTTTTTTGGTGTACCTTGTACTTTTTTCTGCAGGTGTAGTCTTGTGAGTGCAGTTTGGGTCAGATACACAGATATCCAGAATAGTTTTGAGATATTTAGCAAAATTGGAGCTATGCAAAAACAGTGTACTGAAAGCGGTTTAAACGTTGTAATCTAAATTTGTTTGCAATTTGAAGCAATTAGCGAACCACAAAAGCTCTGTTAAGTATTTAAAGCCAAAGAATGAAGAGAACGTGCTTGTACACAGACACTGCTCCTCTGGACTATAGTGTGACAGTGTGTGACTATAGTGTGACAGTGTGTGACTATAGTGTGACAGTGTGTGACTATAGTGTGTGACAGTGTGTGTGTGACTATAGTGTGACAGTGTGTGTGACTATATAGTGTGACAGTGTGTGACTATAGTGTGACAGTGTGTGACTATAGTGTGACAGTGTGTGACTATAGTGTGACAGTGTGTGACTATAGTGTGACAGTGTGTGTGACTATAGTGTGACAGTGTAGTGTGACTATAAGTGTGACGTGTGTGTGACTATAGTGTGACAGTGTGTGACTATAGTGTGACAGTGTGTGACTATGTGTGACTATAGTGTGACAGTGTGTGACTATAGTGTGTGACAGTGAGTGTGTGACTATAGTGTGACAGTGTGTGTGTGACTATAGTGTGTGACACAGTGTGTGACTATAGTGTGACAGTGTGTGACTATAGTGTGACAGTGTGTGACTATAGTGTGACAGTGTGTGTAGTGTGACAGTGTGTGTGACTATAGTGTGACAGTGTGTGACAGTATGACTATAGTGTGAAGTGTGTGTGATAGTGTGTGACAGTGTGTGACTATAGTGTGACAGTGTGTGTGACTATAGTGTGACAGTGTGTGTGAGTAGTTAGTGTGAGTGTGACTATAGTGTGTAGTGACAGTAGTGTGTGACTATAGTGTGACTATAGTGTGACAGTGTGTGACTATAGTGTGACAGTGTGTGACTATAGTGTGACAGTGTGTGACTATAGTGTGACAGTGTGTGACTATAGTGTGACAGTGTGTGACTATAGTGTGACAGTGTGTGACTATAGTGTGACAGTGTGTGACTATAGTGTGACAGTGTGTGAGTATAGTGTGACAGTGTGTGACTATAGTGTGTGTGACTGACAGTGTAGTGTGACTATAGTGTGACAGTGTGACTATGTAGTGTGACAGTGTGTGAGTATAGTGTGACAGTGTGTGACAGTGTGTGACTATAGTGTGACAGTGTGTGACTATATAGTGTGACTATAGTGTGACAGTGTGTGACTATAGTGTGACAGTGTGTGACTATAGTGTGACAGTGTGTGACTATAGTGTGACAGTGTGTGACTATAGTGTGACAGTGTGTATAGTGTGTGACAGTGTGACAGTGTAGTGTGACTGACTATAGTGTGACAGTGTGTGACTATAGTGTGACAGTGTGTGACTATAGTGTGACAGTGTGTGAGTATAGTGTGACAGGGTAGATGACATGGTTTGTTGTTTTCACATTAGTGAAGTGGTTTTGGTTTTGTAAAGTGCAGGTTGCAGGTTAAGTGACTCATTTGACAGAAACACAGTTTACATTAAGGATGTAAGTCTTGCTTCTGGATCATGGGGACATTTTAGGTGGTATGTGCTTTCCTTTATTCTGGTGAGTTTTAGATGTAACAATTTATACTATAAACCTGTAAGAAATCTGTTCAGCTGCTGATCATGGTTTTCAAAAAAAAAAAAAAAAAAAGAAAAAGCCAACAAGAACTATGCCATATTTGTCACGTGACCTTGTCTTCATACTTTGGTCTTTGACTGGGCGTCATCTAAACAGGTTTTTAGAAATGACAGGCCAGAGCTCAAAACCTTGTTCCACCTTGTAACACAATCAGTGTTGGGGAGTAACAGATTACATGTGCCGGAGTTACATAATCAAAGTACAAATTATGAGTAACTGTATTCAGTTACAGTTATTGTTTCAATGAGTGGTAATTGGATTACAGTTACTTTGTTGAAATAAATTGATTACATGGAGGTATTTTCCTGTTTTCACATTTTGGGCTAAACCTGTACTGAAACCAGGACTAAAACCAGGACTAAAACCAGGACTAAAACCAGGACCAAAACTAGGACTAAAACCAGGACTAAAACCAGGACTAAAACCAGGACTAAACTAGGACTAAAACCAATTCTAAAACCGATTCTAAAACCAGGACTAAACCAGAACTAAACCAGAACTAACCAGGTCAAACAGTATGACACTTAACAGTAAGTGGACATAATTTAAGGCAGCAGTGATCTCATATAAAAATAATTTCTCTATTAGTAATATTTTTAATATGCTTAAGGAAAGACTGGACTTTTTATTGTCTTTTAGCAAACAAAACTTCTTATATGAAGATTTCCTAGTCTTTGCTTCTCTACAGTAAACACTTACCTGTTCATGGAGACTTGGGCTCAACAGACTGTTTGAAGAGAACAAACAAGAATTTTCAAGATGTGGTTGCTACATTCATGTAGTTTAAAAAGCATGACAATATCAAGTAATCCAAAGTATTCAGATTACGTTACTCACCTAAAGTAAATAAATGGATTACGCTACAAACTACATTTTGGAGTATGTAATCTGTAATCTGTAGGGGAATACATTTTAAAAGTCACCTTCCCAACACTGAACATAATAAAGTGGTAATCCAGAAGTGCTCCTGTGTTTTTAAAGACCATTCAGCTTCAGTTCAAAAGGAGTTCAAAGCAACATAATAATATGCAGTGCATTTCAGAGCAGGTCTAATCTCTAAAGGCCTCCAGAATGAGCTCTGGAAAAAAACAGGACTGTAGAGACTCTGTGTTTGAAATTGAGACGTTTCAACTTCAGAAGACATTTCACTTTTGATTATTTATATTTCAGATTTTACAAAATCAGGCCAAATTTTCTCTTTTGGACATGGGCAGCAAGTGTGAACAAACATAGAGGTAAAGTCGTAACAGCTAATTTACAGAATAGTTATGATTTGAAGAATACAACGCATTTATTTAGGTAAATGAAGGATTAAACTGTCCGACAATTGATTTCCTTGAGTGTAAATTTGAACTACTATACAAATTGAGAGAGAGGAGGGAGACAGAGGAGAAAGGAGAGAAAGGAGAGAGAGGAGAGAGAGGAGACAGGAGGCAGAGGAGAGAGAGGAGGAGACAGGACTGAACATGATTTAAACCCTGAGACACTGAGGATTTAAACAGTTTTAGAAAATCCTGACAGGAATGTGGAGAGACAGAAGAACCGCAGGCTTCAACCCAAACTTCACATGTGGCTGCGGGCTCATTCACAAAGATACTGCAGGGGGCGCTACTGACTGCAGAATCAGGCTACTCTTACAGATATTTCACCTTAAATGCCCTGTACCTGATGTTTCCTGTATTTGAACATACTTGTCTTGCCCCAGTACACAAATATTGTAAAATCATCTCATGAGGTCAAAATAAATTCACTGTGTAACGACCACATGTAATTATTAAGTGTATTAAGAATCTAGAGCCCCTTTAAATGTTTCAGTATGTTGTGTATTATGCAAATGAAATATTATGTTATATAACTGTTACTATAGTTTGAGTTGTATTTCTTTATATTATTTGATTTCCCCACAGCGTACAATCCCTGCGTCTCAGAGCAGTCTGGTCCTGCAGCCTCTCCTCTCAGACACTGAGTACAAAGTGGCTCTGACTCCTGTTTACTCAGAGGGAGATGGACCCACGTCCGCCCGCTCCGCCCGCACACGTGAGTCTGCACCCTATACCCGCGAGCCACATCGCACACACCTCCTCAGGGTATGAAAGGGCACAGCGAGCCACAACATACAAACACTATCAGAATACAAATTATGAGCAAGTGTATTTGGTTACAGTTACTGTTTCAGTGAGTGGTAATTGGATTACAGTTATTTTGTTAAAATAAATGGATTAAATTGTTGTTGTTTTTTTATTTTGGTAATTCCACGCATTGCCGGAAACCCAAACAGAATACATGCAGTAAGAGCTGTGTAAAGGTTTTGTTAACGTTGGTGGCGTAAGTAACACGATGGACGAGGTCGTTAATAATCGACGTAGTTAATAATCTGATTCTGCATCATTTTGAGTAAAAAACATCCAATATTACAGATTTTTACTGGTCTGGCGCCTTTATGTTTGTAGTGAAAGTGATTATTATTATTATTATTATTATTTTTTTTTAATAAAGAATATGACACTTAACAGTAGGGTGGACATCATTTAAAGCAGCAGTGATCTCATATAGAAACCATTTCTCTATAAATAATCTTTTTAATACCATTAAGGAAAGACTGGGCATTTTATTGTCTTTTAACACATAAAACATCATTTGTTAAGATATAGTCTTTGCTTCTCTACAGTAAACAAAAGTCTGTTCATGGAGACTTCAGATTACGTTACTCACCTTAAGTACCTTAATGGAGTCGGTTACAAACTACATTTTGGGGTATGTAATCTGTAATCTGTAGGGGAATACCCCTTTAATACCTTCTCATCACTGACTGTCACAGAGTATGAAACAGCGCCGCTAGTCACTATGTACACACTGTCACAGGGTGTAAAAGGGTCTGAGACAGCACCCAGGTGTTACTGTCTGTCACGTGCTGAAAATGAAGCATGGATCTATAATCAGACCTGGATAAGTCTCTGTTCTGGTGTGAGATCGACTAGTGGCTGCTCCAGGTACTGCAGCTCCCGGTTAGCTCGGGTCCAGACAGAATTCTCCCATAGAACACAATGTAACAGAGGGTAAGTGTCGGAGCACCTAACCATAAAGCACAGTGCACTTTTTTGTGAATTCTGCTCGTGTTCTGACAGGGCATCCACAGCTTTCACAAAGGGCTGATGCTTGTGTATTTAGCCGAGCCCATCTAGCTATCACTCTGATTGGCCAGACCTGATCACATAGTGCATGTTTCTGACATCACACAGTGTGCCAGTATTCAGGAAACAATGCAGAAGAAAAAAATATTTGTTTTGACAATTTGAGCCAATGAGCACAGGCCACTGAAAACAACATGACACCGTTGGTTGTTTGGTTTATCTTCCAGGTATTATTATACTAGTATTTCCATTATATGAAATGAAATATTCCCCACCCTCTCTCTTCTTTGCTCTATTTTTGTGAGGTAAGAGTGTTTCTGGGTTCAACTCCCAGGGTCACCTTGGCCTTTAAGTGTAGAGTTTGCATGTTCTGTCTGTATGTGTTTTTTTTTTTGTTTTGTTTTGTTTTTTTATAAGGAGAGTAAAGTGTACCTCTCTCTCCACAGTGCCTCTGTCTGCTCCTAAAAACCTGCGCGTGTCTGAGGAGTGGTACAACCGCTTCAGGATCAGCTGGGACGTCCCACCCTCTCCCACCATGGGCTACCGCATCGTCTACCAGCCTGTGTCCGGTGAGAGAGCAGCACTCAACCAGGACTGAATCAAGACTAAACCACAACTAAACCAGGACTTGAACAGAACTAAACCAGGACTAAACCAGGACTAAACCAAACATAAATCTGAGCTCTTGGTGGTCTCTGTTTTAACTGTATCCTGTCATTATACTTCGTCATTCTTGTATATCTATCTATCTATCTATATACTTTTTTTTATGTTCCTTTTTGTATAATGTCTCTCCAGTCCCTGGTCCAGCCCTGGAGACCTTCGTTGGGGAGGATGTGAACACCATGCTGATCCTGAACCTGCTCAGTGGAGTTGAATACAGCGTCAAAGTGATCGCCTCCTATACGACAGGGTCCGAGTGAGGCTCTGACCGGGAGGGCCAAAACATGTGAGAAAACCAGGACTAGACCAGGACTAGACCAGGACTAAACCAGGACTGAACCAAGACTGAACCAAGACTGAACCAGGACTGAACCAAGACTGAACGAAGACTGAACCAAGACTGAACCATGAAGGAACCAGGAATGAACCAGGACTGAACCAGGACTGAACCAGACTGACCTGAACCAGGACTGAAAACCAACTGAACCAAGACTGAACCAGGACTGAACCAGGACTGAACCAAGACTGAACCAGGACTGAACCAGGACTGAACCAGGACTGAACCAGGACTGAACCAGGAATGAACCAGGACTGAACCAGGAATGAACCAGGACTGAACCAAGACTGAACGAAGACTGAACCAAGACTGAACCATGAAGGAACCAGGACTGAACCAGGACTGAACCATGAAGGAACCAGGAATGAACCAGGACTGAACCAGGACTGAACCAAGACTGAACGAAGACTGAACCAAGACTGAACCATGAAGAACCAGGACTGAACCAGACTGAACCATGAAGGAACCAGGAATGAACCAGGACTGAACCAGGACTGAACCAAGAAGGAACCAGGACTGAACCAAGACTGAACCAGGACTGAACCAGGACTGAACCAAGAAGGAACCAGGACTGAACCAGGACTGAACCAAGACTGAACCAGGACTGAACCAAGACTGAACCAGGACTGAACCAGGACTGAACCAAGACTGAACCAGGACTGAACCAGGAATGAACCAGGACTGAACCAAGAACTGAACCAGGACTGAACCAAGACTGAACCAGGAACTGAACCAGGACTGAACCAGGACTGAACCAAGAAGGAACCAGGACTGAACCAAGACTGAACCAGGACTGAACCAGGACTGAACCAGGACTGAACCAAGACTAAACCAGGACTGAACCAAGACTGAACCAGGACTCCAACGGTAAAGTGGCTGCTTCGTATTCAACAGGGTCAGTGAGTGAGGCTCTGACTGGAAGGGCCAAAACACGTGAGAAAACCAGGACTAACCCAGAACTGAACCAGGACTAGACCAGGAATAATCAAGGTCTCTTCATGTGCAACTCAAACCCACTGCCTTACATAAAGAGGTTAAAATGTGGAGAAATAGCTACGTTAAAAAAAAAAAAAAAAAAAAAAAAGGGAATTGCTGAGACTGGCCTTATGATTTAAAGTATAATTGTGTATTATATTTATTATATTAGAATGTTGCTGCCTCCTCAAAAACATACCTAGAGCTTTGTTTGTTCACACATGTTTGAGGTACCATTTATTTTTAGTCTGTCTACATCTGTAGACTTTATGATGACCTTGTGATGAAGCCATTGTTATCAAGTTAACAGATCCTTTTACCTTTAGTTGAGTAGAGACTGGAAAAGGTGGAACAGAGTATTTTCTCAGCAATAATGTGTCCTACCACAATCACAGCACACAATCCAGTCAAGTCATACAGGGAAAGCCAAAACATGTTAACGAACCAGGAGTAGACCAGGACTGAATGAAAGCTAAATCAGGACTGAATAGGATTTGAATGCAAATGATCTAAGGGACCACCCGTATGGAGGTAACATGTGATCTGTTGGTTTTAAATTAGACAAACTGAGGCGGTGCTTGAAGCTACACTTAATTACAAGATCAACGTGAAAGGGGCTTTCCACTCAGCTTCATGTGTTCTAAATACCACCTCTCTTTTTACTTTTTATTTCATTTGAGCCTTAAAGAACGTCAAGTTTCTCTAATTTGGACTTAATTTGGTCTAATAATACATGTTGTTCATATAATTTATAGTTTTACTCCTATCAAGAAGTGAATTATGTTCAAAGTTTGGCAAAATTTCCCCATTTTTTCAAATACATTAAACATCATTTCAACAAAATAAAGGTGTTTTCTTAGTTTTGTATTTGTCAAATGATCTCTGTGTACATTTGTGGAGTTTGGACCAGTGTACGTGGTAGTTGTTCGGTTGCTCTTACGTGATGTCATGATTTCCACTGAGGAAGTAACGTTTTAAACCCCAAATATTGCCAAACTGGGAATGAAATATAATGATCTTGAAGGTGCTTTGTGTTATTGTCTTAGGCAGTTGTCTGTTAAAGCTTTAGTTCTGGTGTTTGAAATGTTTCTTCTTCTCGTTGTGTTGCAGTGTACCTGGGAGTGAACAACCTCAGAGTTTATACGACCAAAGTCAACAGTCTGTGTGTCCAATGGCAACCGCACCGCCACGCCACCGCCTACAGGGTCAACATAGAGGCTCTGTCCAGTGAGTACTACTACTACTACTACTGCTGTAGTACTAATACTGCTGTACTGTACACGCCACCGCCTACAGGGTCAACATAGAGGCTCTGTCCAGTGAGTACTACTACTACTACTGCTGTAGTACTAATACTGCAGTACTGTACACGCCACCGCCTACAGGGTCAACATAGAGGCTCTGTCCAGTGAGTACTACTACTACTACTGCTGTAGTACTAATACTGCAGTACTGTACATGCCACCGCCTACAGGGTCAACATAGAGGCTCTGTCCAGTGAGTACTACTACTGCTACTGCTGTAGTACTAATACTGCAGTACTGTACATGCCACCGCCTACAGGGTCAACATAGAGGCTCTGTCCAGTGAGTACTACTACTACTACTGCTGTAGTACTAATACTGCAGTACTGTACACGCCACCGCCTACAGGGTCAACATAGAGGCTCTGTCCAGTGAGTACTACTACTACTACTGCTGTAGTACTAATACTGCAGTACTGTACACGCCACCGCCTACAGGGTCAACATAGAGGCTCTGTCCAGTGAGTACTACTACTACTACTACTGCTGTAGTACTAATACTGCAGTACTGTACACGCCACCGCCTACAGGGTCAACATAGAGGCTCTGTCCAGTGAGTACTACTACTACTACTACTACTACTACTACTGCTATAGTACTAATACTGCAGTACTGTACACGCCACCGCCTACAGGGTCAACATAGAGGCTCTGTCCAGTGAGTACTACTACTACTACTGCTGTAGTACTAATACTGCTGTACTGTACACATCGCCACCGCCTACAGGGTTAACATAGAGCCTTTGCCCTGTGAGTACTACTGCTACTACTACTACTACTACTACTACTGTGCTTCAGACAGAGCAGAGCTTCAGACAGAGCAGTACTTCAGACAGAGCAGTGCTTTCAGTTGGCATCACTCTCTCAGGGTATGTTGATGACATCAGCTGTAAAGTATCAATGACTTACTTGTGTATTTTCAGATGGACAGAAGCAGGAGGTGAAGCTGGGCGGAGGCACCGGGCGTCACTGCTTCACAAACCTCAAACCCAACGCCCAGTACAAAGTGAGTGTGTACGCTCAGCTGCAAGACGGGACGGAGGGCCCCGCCGTGACCGTCACCGACAAGACACGTGAGACTTTTATTCTGATTGTAATCTACAGATCAAACAGACACATGACAGAATTATAACACTGTCCTGAATGTAGAAACAAAACTACCAAATCAAGATACAAACATAGAACTTTTACTTGATAGAAAAATAGATAGATAGATACGAAGCTCTATTTGCGTATTTGGTACTATGATATTTATATTAGAACACATTTTATATTTATATTATTTGGTATATTTATACCAAATCATCTCCAATCTTATTTGGTATAAAGAGCAGTGTATACTGTGTCTAGTCCAGCTGGTTAAAAAAGATTTATGTGTTTCTTTTTTCACAGTTCCTGTTCCAACTCCGCCTCCAACCAAACCACCCACAACAACTCCATTACCCACAATCCCCGCTGCCAAAGAGGGTACGCAACATCACATTTCCTCTCCATAAACATGTGTTACATGTAGTACTGACAGCTGTAGAACAAGCTGTAGTAGGTAACATAGTAGTACTAGTACTAGTAGCCAGAGGCAGTCAAAACAGACCAGGTGCTGGTGATCTTAGTATTTGCTGTAGTATTTGCAGTAGTAGTACTTGCAGTACTTGTACTTGTACCACACAGTGTGTAAAGCCGCTAAAGCACACCTGCTCTTCTCTGGTAATGGTTAGAGTAGTCACAGTAGTAGTATTTGCAGTAATAGAATTTGCAGTAGCAGTACTTGCAGTAGTAGTCACAGTATTTACAGTACTTATACTTGTACCCCACAGTGTGTAAAGCAGCTAAAGCAGACCTGGTTTTCCTGGTGGATGGATCCTGGAGCATTGGAGACGAGAACTTCTTGAAGATCATCGGTTTCCTCTACAGCACCACCGGAGCTCTGGACCAGATCGGACCGGACGGGACCCAGGTAAGACTGGGTTTAGATCAGGTTTAGACCTATTTTAGATCAGGTTTAGACCGAGGTTAGACCAGTTTTACGCCAGGTTTAGACTGGGTTTAATGTAGTATTTATTTCCAGACTTTAGTTCTGGTGTAGTCCTGGTTTAGTCCTTATTTAGCTCTGGTTTAGTCATTGTTTACACCTGGTTTAGTCTTTATTTAAATCTGGTTTAGTCCTTGTTTAGTTCTGGTTTAGTCCTGGTTTAGTCCTGGTTTAGTCCTGGTTTATTCCTGGTCAGTACATGTGTGTTTTTGTTGGTGTTTTTCAGGTGGCCATCGCTCAGTTCAGTGATGACGCTCGGACTGAGTTTAAACTGAACTCGTACAGCGACAAAGAGAAGCTGCTGGACGCCATTAACCGCATCTCCTACAAGGGCGGCAACACCAAGACCGGTGAGAGGGACTTTAGAGTCAGACTTTGCACTGACATCATGCTGGGATACATTGAATGTATGTCTATGGAGGAAAGTTGAGTAGTTACCGTGGTGACACCATGCACACATTTCCAATCATGGCCAGAAGGATTGTCAGATTGTGTTAGTCTGAAACCTTAAGTTCTGCAGTACATACAAATAACCAGTGGAGGGAGCCAAAGTGTCTCTTACTTACACATGTATTTTTCAGACTTACATTTCTTAACGTCTATTTACTTTTTAAACTATTAACTCTAGTGTTGTCACGATACGTAAAATTCCAAACCTGATTTTGGTATTCAGGAATAGACTTGATACTCAATAACGATTCCGATACCACGATGATAATAAAAACACTCAATAGAATGTGATTTTAACATTAATACTAGTCTATGTGCTCTTATACTTATTCGGATACAGCTCAAGATCATTCTAAAGACATTCGGGAAAGGCTCATTTCTGTCCTGTCAATGGGACTTTTTTAGTATCAATACCTGCTCAAATGAGTATCTAGATTCGATACTAGTTTGAGTTAGTATCTGATTTTTGATACTTTTGACAAACTTATCCTGTTCCCACTGTGTTTCACCAACTGATTTGTGCTGCTAAACAAGTCCCTCTCGAATAACATTACAGTCCCAAGCTCAGTCACTCTCACCTTTTAGTTGAAAATCAAACTCCTAATCAGGACCATGAACTCTTATATTAATCACAGGCTCCTGAGAAAAGGTGCTGTTTCAGACTTAGACCTTAAAGCTTATCAGGCTGTGTTTCCTCATACATTATGCCAGCATGGTGACTGATGGACATTCCACCATAGAGATACATGTGACCCTCCCAGTGTGATGTCACTACAAAATATCCATACCCTGCTCTGAATGCTGGGGTTATGGTCTTACCTCTGACATGCCCCCCGTGTTATTTGTGTTCCTTTCAGGCCGGGCGATTAAGCACGTGAGGGAGCAGATCTTCACCTCTGAGGGGGGCATGAGGAGAGGGGTCCCCAGGGTCCTGGTGGTTCTGACAGATGGACGCTCTCAGGATGATGTCAACAAGGTCTCCAAGGAGCTGCAGATGGAAGGTACTTTTACCTATCTTGAACAAAACTGACTCGTGTTGCTTCCTCTTCAAAAACATATCTGAAGTTGTGTTCTGTTTCATGCACACATGACTGAGTAACCCTGTGTACTGCATTCAGACCAGGATGTCAAAAAACACTCTGGACGCCTCTAGTTGTGTGTGTCTTGGACACTGTGGACCAAAGGGAGAAAAATACTTGACACGCGTCCAGGGCGTTCACTGTGGTCGGCAAGTGCCTTGTTTTCCCAGTCGAGTATCTTTAGTGAGTTTATTAGATACAACACATCGGTGGAGGTGATTGGTTCAGCGATTGCAGCGTTTATACTCATACTCCGCTAATGACACGGTGTAGATTTCCTGTTCAGGTGTTTATGACTCCCAGGTCTTTCAATGGGTTTTTTTCTTCCTTCTTTTGCGTAATAACGTCACTACGTCACAGGAAAGTTATGCTTTTTTCAGCTTCTGATGCAGATGCGTCTAGAGCATCAACGGCTAAAGACTCAGTCGCGCTGCATAGACACCAGACTGTTGTCGCGCTAACGCCGGAAGACCAATGCAAAAACGCAGGAAGACCCCCTAGACGCGCGTCCACAAAGACTTTGCATGTGAACTGCTCTGGTCTGAACACAGCAGGGTCAGTCCAAATCACAAATCAGCACATGTCAGATGCCCTCCCCTAAGAGCCATCTCAGATTTGGCTGAAAAAAATTCTAAAATTTTCTAAAATCACCAAATGAAAGAATCGCAAATTTTAGCTCAATCCCTTGAGTTGTTCCTGAGTTATGGCCCATTGAAATTTTGGTGCCATGTTCACTTTTTCTGAAGCCTTAATTTATAAGCATGTTTCAGAGACCAGAACTTCATCATAAATAGAGCTAGGAAGCTGAGACTTTGTATTGTAGATTCTTTGTCATCGATTCTGAATCTGTTGTCAAATATTGGGGATCTTTATTAACGGGGGGTGTGGTGCTGCTCAGTTTTTTTTTCCAATGTTTGAGGTCCAAGATTTATTTACTGTTGAACCTGAATATTTGAGAGAATGACCATTTCTGACAACATTCTCACACTTTTCTGAGCTTTCATGTGGATGTTGTAGAGACACAAATCTGGTCACAGACCAAATGTGATCTTTTTGGCCCCTTCTTTGGAGTCTCGGTTCCTCATGTGGCACAGGTAGATGTTGATTTAAAAATAAATAAATAAATACCAGAGAAATGTTGGCATATTCTGATTAGTTTAAAGTAATAAAAACATCTACTATTAACTTCCTTCATTTCAAATGGAATTTTTGAAAATGAGTCTCATGGGTCATTTTTAGTGGAGTTTAGGGACTTTTCCACTTGCAGAAAGATTAAATTACCTTTAATAGACTTAAACACTGTTTGCTTGTTACAAGGGAAGACAGTTGAAGATTATTGTGGTACATTGTTTGTGATGGTTTTGGTGACACAGTAAAACACTCGGCTGCAAGGACCAGTCTTCAGACAAACTGACAACAATCAAATATTGACCTCACTCCAGATGTTTGAGTGGAGTTTCACAAAACATAAAGAAAGTAAAGGTTTTCTTTACAAGCTCTAAAGACATTACAAACCATGAACTTACTTCCAAATATATCTGCTTGGAGTAAATAGATCTTGGACCTCAAAAAAAAAATTAATAAATTGAGCAGCAACCAAATGTGAGATTTTCGGGGCCCACCGCGCCCCCCCTTAAAATACCAAATATTTGACAACAGATTCAGAATCTATGACAAAGAATTGACAATAATACAAATTTTCAGCTTTGTAGCTCTACTTTTGATGAAGTTCTGGTCTCTCAAACCTGCTGATAAATTAAGACTTATGAAAAAGTGAACATGGCCCCAAAATTTCAACGGGCTATAACTCAAGAACAACTCAAGGGATTGAGCTAAAATTTGAGATTCTTTACTTTGGTGATTTTAGAAATTTTTTGTATTTTTTTTCAGCCAAATCTGAGATGGCTCATAGGGGAGATTCCTTGAAAACAGCCGATTTCATACGGACTGACCCAGCATTAGTCTGTCTACGCCTCCAAAGATCATTGTGTAGAGGGGCGGAGTTTGATGTGCAGATGCCAATCACACTGCTCCTTATATGTACAGTAGTCTTCCAGACCCTGCCCCCACTCCTCTAGTCCTCCAGGAACTGTCCAGTTTATCAGCTGTATTTGAATTGTGGTTGTGGACGGAGTTTAGGTGTTTAGTCCCACTTTCACACCACATGTTAGCCCTGGTTCATGTTCTCCTCTTCCTCTGTGTCGTTCAGGCTACATCGTGTTTGCGATTGGATTTGCCGACGCAGATTACGGTGAGTTGGTGAGCATCGCCAGCAAACCCAGCGACCGCCACGTGTTTTTCGTGGACGATCTCGACGCCTTCAAGAAGATCGAGGAGAAGCTGGTGACGTTTGTGTGCGAAGCTGCTACAGCCAGTGAGTCACTTCATCAGGGATATGTTAAATGACTCAGAAATACAGTTTTATTCACGTTTGCTTGTGATTTTAGCTTGTCCTGCTGTCCCAATGAGCGGCAGCACCACACCAGGTAAGAAACAACAACTAACCCCAACCCTAAACATACACACAGATCAAATCCTCCAGCTACAAGAGTCCAGAGCAGGACTAGCTCACTATGTGGAGCTCTGAAGGATGGGTCAAATGCAGAGGAGACAACAGTGATATTGAAGTGTAACTTAAAGACACTGTGCCTGATTTTTACTGTCTTAAAAACATTTAAAACAGAACTATTTCATTTTAAACCATTTTGCAGTGGTCCAAAGTTCTTCCTCACTTACTTTATGCATTCTGAGCCTAATTATTCACCACAATGAGTTTATAAGCACTGCACACTTTGTGATTCTCAGACAATAAAACGCTGTATAATTAGATGCAGACAGTGCACAGTGGACTTAGCTTTGGGATGCAGGAGTGCTATTTGGAGATACACAAATGTGCAGAATTGTTCTTTTGGTGCTCTTCAGTGTAGGGACCAGTCTCAAATACAAAGTAGGAAAAAACTGAGGCACTCGAAAAGTACAAAATAATTAAAAGCCTTTAATAGCACATGGCAGATAAAGTTAAAATCACGCGTTTCGGACTTCGGCCTTCATCAGGGCAAACTCAAGATGGATATCACAGTCACATGTTCACAGTGGGCTGGCCCACAGTCCCCTGGTGCATGATGGAACATGTAGGCTGAACAGATTCTAGTTAGAAGCTACTTAAGTTCAAATATAATACAAGATATACATAGTACAAATCCCAATCTATCTGAAAGGGCTAGTCTTAAACAGTTTCATGGAGTCAGAGATGCAAAACAGAAATTGCGTACTCATTTAAAGTTTGTGGTTTTAAGAAAGGGGGAGAAATCTAACTCTCCATTGAGTCCTGGAAACTGGGTGGCCTTGAGAGTGTAGATCCAGTAGGACTCTCTCTGTAATATTTTTTTTTCAGTCTATCTCCTCCTCTTATTGTTTCTTTAATATGTTCAAGAGCTCTTTATACAATATCTGTGTACTGGTTAAACTGAAATCCATGTGGAAAAATCAGGCACAGGACCTGTAAGAATTTTAAGATTAGGGATGTGTTCCAGGCGCTGGTAACTGGGACGCTGCTCAAACTGATAATTCCTACTTGTGAACTTTAACTTGTTACAGTTTTATACATTTGCATGAGTTTTACATTAGCTGTGTTGTTTACATACAGGTTAATCCAGCTGCAATTTATAACATTTGTGTAAAATATTGGGGAAAAAAGTGGCGTCCCGGTGTCTGGAACTAAGCTCATTCTACATCTTCGTCTTTCTGCACTGACTTGATGCTGGTCCATGTGACATTGCTCTGAGATAGAGCTGATAAAATAATTAGTTTAAGACTTAATTTTTACCTTTGAGACCAGGAAAGTCCCTCTGAGATTTTGAGTCTTTTTCAGTTCACTGCAGGTTTTCACTTTTTTTCTTTTTTTGTTTTGTTTTTTTTGACGGGGTAGCAGGGGGAATGCGTGGTCTTTGACTGGCTGTGTTGTTCCTGCCGTGTCAGGTTAAGGTTAGAGGAAAGTGTCGGGTTAGCCACTCAGCAGAGACGTTATCAGTTGCCAGAAATCCAATCAGAGGCCGTGCTTTCCCCGCTCCCCGTCACTAACAGGCCTCAGACGGGACGGGCCTGTTGCACATGCTTCAGCAGGAGTGGAAACCTGTAGACCACTGTTCAACTTCAGTCTGATCTGTGTGTACGTGTGTTTGTGTGTGTGTGTGTGTGTGTGTGTGTGTGTGTGTAGGCTTCCGGATGATGGACCTGTTTGGCCTGGTGGAGGACAAATACAGCACCCTCTCTGGTGTCTCCCTGGTCCCTGGAACCTTCAACACGTTCCCCTGTTTCAGACTGCACAGCGACGCCCTGCTCGCACAACCCACCAAGTAACTACACATCATCATATTATGTAACGTGTAACTAACATGTAACTAAGGCTACGCTCAGACTGCAGGGCTTCATGCTCAGTTTGGATTGTGTTGTGAAATCAGATTTTTTTGCGATGTCATTCACATTTCCAGTTAAATGTGACTTGTTGGTTGATCTCCAGTGTGAACTTTAAATGCCCCAAAAGTGTCCCACATGGTCATTGGAGGACACGACCACGTCACAAACAGTGAGCGTTCTTAGTGTTTACAGAAGTCGCCTAAACTCTGGTCTTATTTGTATTTGTATTTGTCTCTCAGGCTCTTTATTTTTCCACAGGTCCACCTGTAGCTGCACTCGTTCGTTTCTTTGGCAATTATTTCAAAAAACACCTGGTTCCCCTCCAATTTGACCTGAATACAGCGATCCCCCTAGTATGAATGAACTCATTTGAGCCTTACGTGTAGGTGGATGAATGCACCTTGTCCGTTCAGACTGAAGTTACATGTCTTCAGAATGTCATTCAAGTGCTTGTGTTTTAGCTTTGAGTGCAGTTTTATTTTATTAATGTTCATTACTGAGAAAACCTGCTCACAAATGCAGTAACTGTAAATCTATTTCTAGTTGCATGTCTGCGGCACATCAGAGGTTTTGACTGTGAATGGTATGCGAAATTGTGTCTTCAGGTTTTAAAATATAATTCAAATATTTTAGTAGAAAATAAACTGAGGGCCAGATTAAAGGTCTTTGAGGGCTGGATCTGGCCCCCGGGCCGTATGTTTGGCACCCGTGGTCTAGCGACATGACATGTATAGCTCATTCTGCTCTCTGATTGGATAATCATCTTGAGAAACAAAACCCCAGAGATGTAGATAGACTAATAATAAAGAGTTATTCAGACATGTGTGAATGAAACTAAACACAACTCCAGGTCTGTTTTTGAGGAGGGAACAACATTGTAACACAGCCTAAAGCTCAAGAGTCATTTTTGCACAATATCTGACTTTTAGGAGCATCACTGTAAGAGAAGACTCAAATCTGAACTGGTAACATCTGACACACAGGGAGGGCATCTGACACACAGGGACATTACCACCACTCACCTGTATTCATGTGATTTCTGTCTGAATAGGTTCCTCCACCCTGAAGGCCTGCCCTCGGACTACACCATCTCACTCCTCTTCAGGTATGCTTATATTCGGAAATCTGATTTCAAATTAACCCTAAAAACATGTCTGAATAGATGTGTTTTTCTTTATTTTCATGAGTCTAATCATAAATATGTGTGAATCAGACACATTTTGTAACAGATATGGAATTATATTTACATGTCACATCTGCTGTGTCCAGCCAGGAAGTGAAATGATAAACTCCACCAAACTAA